GTACACTGACACATCTTCCATAAATAGGAAACATGTGATGCAAAATCTTTGAACAGAGGATCCACAGTTATCCGACCAATTAACTAGCATTGAAATAGAATGTTACACAACATACAAATATACTGCTTTTTCTTCAGATATATTGAACTGCTAACTACTAATGTAAATAAGAGGCAAAGAATATATTCAAAGTTTAAAGCTTTTTGTCAATAAAATTACATATTGACATTATTGCTTCTTAAACAATGATAATCTTATTGGATCTGAGACCATATCCTTTAGGGACATAACACTAATTGTGATCTACATGTATTTCCTTTCCTGAGATACTTACTAGTGTCATCAAAATTATATTAAAGTTGCTTAAAATTTGGTAAAAGTCCTAACAAAAGTTAAGGGAAAACATACATGAAAATGTCCTGAAGCTTTCACATCCTGCAATTAAACCAGTGTGCAATTTAATATGAAATTAAGCTTATTTTCCAAATAAGCATCAACAAACCTTGAACAATTTGTCCAAAACCGAAGCTGAGATTTACAGAAACTGTTTTTCGCGATTAAAACATAATTATACATAATTTTTAATTGGAAATTTGGGAATATGTTTCTTATGGCTTTATCTTTCACCCATCAATTTGTTGCAATTCACTCGTATTCTCCTTTAATAAACACTACTTTGGCTCAGTTATCAAATATTGGTAACCTCCCAAAACCTGATGATTTCTAAGAAGTATTACATGAAATCGGGGTTGAATATTATATGTTTCAATATCCATTCCAGTTACATGAACAGTCAACTTAGAATTCTGTAAGTTATTTGGTTCCAAGACTGAATAATGCCTGGGTGTGACCAAAACGTAGCCTTTGGTTTTTTTTCCAATTCTATGGATGTTGAAATAACTTTATTATGAGTGATGATACTAGTGATCACTCTCTGAATAATCTTATTAGTAAACATATTATTTAAAGACTAAATATATCTTAAAACAAACTAGCTATCTTAGTACCAAGTGGTTGTTCAGCCATGATATGTATATAGTGTTTGTTTGCCTAGTTCTGCCTTAAATTCACATGAATCTGATATGTGAGTCAATTAAGTAATTATTTTTAATTGATTGGATTATTATCTATTTTATTACCTTTCCATGTTTCCTGAAGGAGGCAAGATTCTTAGAACATACCTTGCTATCATTTCCAGTGAATTATAATTAAAATAACAGAACTATGTTATTACTCCTAAAATGTACCAATGTACCCACCCCCCACCCCAACCCCTATCCTACATGTAAAAAAATTATGCTGTGACAAAAAAATCAAAACAAATAATGTTCTCATAGTTAAGAAATAAACTTATATTTCACTCCGTCCGATATTCCAGAAAGTCACTATTCTTCTCACATAGTTTTCGTCTCCGATCCACATGGAGTAAGCTAAATCAATTCAAGGTCCCATCTCTTTATAGAAATTCTGAAATGTTTAAGACATGGTGCTATAGACACTCATTTGAACTAATTTTGATGTTTGGATATTGCGTGATAGGCAACTGCTGACACTGACAATATTTCCGTTTGGATAAAAAAATATTACTCCTCGAATATTTTGCACTATTAGCAGTTACTGTACTGTACATAGGCCTTCAGATTGTGCTTTTGAAACTTTAAAACATCCTAAAATGTGTGACAAATTTAAGAATATCTAATCGCGAATGCAACCATATCCACCACATTGTTCTTTAATGTAACAAGTTTGCTATTTCGGTTGACCCTAACCGAAATCAGCTCGCTGTCAGATTTGTTTACATTGTGTCACGGCTTTCTCGCCTGTCTCGTTTCAGGTTTATGGTGTACCAACTCAATGCCCAGTAGTGAATAAAAACGTGAATCAAAAACAATTTTGTAGTTACAAGAACTGTCCGTGTTTATAACACTTGCAAAATCCTAAACTGCTATTTGTTGTCATCTATTGGTAATGCTTTTGCACATGTGCGAAAGTGTGTAAATTCGTGTAAATTCTCACCTTCGAGCAGACGTAGGTTTCGTGAACGACGGTGCCGACATTTAACTGCTCGATAGGCCTATCGCATTCCTTGATCCGCCTCAATTTTTTGATCTTGATCGTAATGGTTTTGTTAAAGGTACGCATCAAATCACAGCAAAATGTAATAGATATAAATGGCATAATTCGAAGCACATCGCTTCGGAGGCATCGTTTGACCCCGGAAATAAGTCTGACAAATCCACGCAGCGCGCCCGGCCTGCTGATTGGCCAAAATTGACGCATGCGCCAGTTTTGATTGACAGACTGGATCGGTCTATTGTACTTAAAAGTGAAAAAAAAGGGTGGCACATTATTGAATGTGGCGGCCATTTTGAAATCCAAGATGGCCGCCAATGGGATGATGGGAAAAATTGGAAACATTGTTTTTTACATCAAGTGTAGTGAGTGGTTTAAGAAAATGTATACTGTTGCTAATCTCCAATTTCTTTGAACGAAAATACATAATACAATGGACTATATGGTATCTGACCGAGCGAAAGCGAGGTCAGATAACATAGGAAGGTCACGAGTTTCTCATTACACTCGGTCTCATTACATACGAATTATACGAAACGAGTGTCCTTCCTATGGTATCTGACCGAGCGAAAGCGAGGTCAGATAACATAGGAAGGTCACGAGTTTCGTATAATTCGTATGTAATGAGGCCGAGTGTGGTATTTTATTTATTACCCACGTCTTACATGCATTTAAACTGACAAAATAGCGTATTTTTGTTATGTTTTTGGTTTCAAACCGAAACCGGTTTCATAAAGAGGTTGCGGAAGAGTTTTGTACTGTAGTACAATATTTGCATGACGTCACACTAATGACGTCACTGCCATGGTAACCGACGTCGTACAGCCTCCTACAGTAAACTACTCCGTTGCACCTCGTTTCTTGGTTTCCAGTTGCTTCATTCGGCTAACATCACTGGTGGAAACATTGCGTTTATGTTTTTCGACAGATATAATGTCTCAGTTCGACTCGGCAACGTTCGCAATGTTTACATTCCCACAATGCATTTAAGTTGTAGAATGAATGAATTCACGTGTTTGTTATGAATGAAAAAATAGTTACGTCAGAATGTGACCTAATTGAGAGGTCATCGGTTATCCAATCAAATCGTTAGAATTTCAGGTCAAGTCGTTACGACACAGGTCAACGCGATACGACACTCGTTTGACGTACGAGATTAATATGCAACTACCCATACGTTGACCACGTGGGTAATAAGTACAGATATGTGTAAGTTCAGAACGTTAACATTACGTACAGATGCTACAATTTTGAACACAGAAACCTTTTTAAAAACATGAAAAAAATGGTCAAACCAGAGACCATATCTATTATAATATTATGGTATCTGGTCAAACCAGGGAGACTATATAAGGGGGAGTGGTCACTCCTCGGAAAGCTCCTGAGCTATTCCGCGGCTCGTCACGTGACCAGTGTAGCCAATATGGCGTCAGCGTAGTTTTTAAGATTGAGCCCGGTTTATTTTCAACAGCTGATTACATACGCTGAGTGTTGTAACAACTGAAAACCTACATGTAGAAGATAAGTTACCTATTCTGTCACTTCATTTTAAGTCAAATAATTGTTATTAGTGTCAGTATAAGTACAGTAGATTTGTAGTAAAGTTTCAAGTCGGCATGTTGTAGCTCACTGGCTTCAATTCTCAGTACACAGCGAAGAAAGATTAAATTATATCGCTAAAAACTTCTTTCACATATTCGTTTAATTTTTAGAAGGGAAATATACCTTTAGTTGAAAGGTGTTTGCAAGTAATAGTGATAGTTTTATAACTAAAAAAATTTGTTAGGGTGTATTTGAGGTGTGTGAAAAATATGACATATCGCCGTTCTGCCATTGAAATACTACAGGGCGTTGTTTGAGTGTTTCTAGTTATTGTTCAAAAACATCTTTCACATACAACTTCAATTTTTATGAGGGGAATATACCATCAGGTGAAAGGTGTTTGCAAGTAATAGTGATAGTTTTATAATTTAAATTTTTTTGTTAGGGTGTATTTGAGGTGTGTGAATATGACATATCGCCGATCTGTTCTGATACGCCATTGATGCTTGTGATGCTTGAGTTCTAAAACTTCTTTCTTTCTTGTTGATCTTAGTATGTGACAAAACTGGAAAGGTGTTTACAACGCTTTGTGATAGTTCTAAACTTTGTGTTTGAGGGGTCTGTGACAGTGTCAGTTAACATTCTGTCAATGCCCATGCCATTCTACACATGCAATAAGATATCTGAATTAGCTACTAATGTAAAACATGTCTCAAAGTACATTTTTACAAAAAAGGACAGCTGATGTTAACACATGTGTTCTACCGATAGTTTTGCGTTCTTTAACATGTTTGGGGAGGGATGGCCGCGGTGTATCATTTATTCTTTCATTCATTCACATATGTATTTCTTTCTTTTGTTCTTTTTCTTTATTTCTTTCATTCATTCACATATAAAAAATTCTTGCTCTTAATTAATTCATTCATTCATTGTAAAATTCCGACTGATACAATACACTGGCTGAAGTACTGTTAAACGCAGCCGAAGTTGCGCTGGGAACGAACCAAGTCACTGTGTGCGCTGGAGCATGACGAGGCACACGTTAATTAGTACAAATGGTAAAGAAAGCAAGCGAGTGACCTATCCCTGTTGTAGAGTATCCCTGGTCAAATGTAGCAGGAAAAAAATATTATTTTATACAAAATTGGAAATTACATAAATGGAGTCATTTTACCTTCAGAAAGCAGGAAATTTTAAAAAATTCCCGGGGGACCATATGACCCCGGACCCCCTCCAGATCCTGGGCCGCATTGCGGCGTAGAACGTGGATAGTCCCCCCAATGCCCTATAAGAAAAGCTAACGACAGCGTGTGTTACCGAATTCACCCCAAACAAGCCTCTTGTGTGTTTGAATCACGTGAAAGTTGTCACATGACGTATCTCACGTGATTAGATCAAAATGGCGGCAGGGACACAAGGCTTGGAAATGCGACTTGTTGCAGTTGTATTGACATGCCTTATCGCTTGTACTTTGGTAAGTCTTAACCAGTTGAGTAGGTTAAAAGATTGAATTTAAGGTCGTCATTAGATATTATATGTAATCAACAACCCATTTGAACCTTGTGACGTGTGACAATGCATGTTGATTTTGACAGTGTCAGTGTCTCACTCAGTGACCGATGGGGCCGAACCAACAGTGATCAGCTTGCGTAAGTGCGCACGGGCGGATCTAGGGTGCACACCACCCTACCCCATCCCCCTCTCCCCTGAAAAAAATTTCGCTGCGGTTCATTTCCCCAAACCTTTGGACTTCATGATTTATGTGCACCCCGCCTTCTCCTAAATCCTCGAAGCTCTCATAGCGCTACATTAACATTGGCTGTAGGTGAATTCGTAACCAAAACCGGTTCGTAGACGGATTGAGCGGTGAATTCGTAGACGTTATTAAAATGGGAAAAGTTCATCCTCAATGATGAAGAAAATCGACGAAAAGTGTTTGCATTTTGTGAAATAAATAAAATATATCAGGTAATTATGATCGGCGGTGAAAATATCCTTAAATAATAAAATAACAAAATATGCTTCACAGTGGTCCATTTCACAAATTCCGACAAATCATAGGCCGCTAATATTAAATTCAGTTGTGTAAAATTAAAAGATATGTATTACGTAAGTATCGTCATTCAACGTTTAACTACGCAGACCAGCAGAGAAGTAGCAGAAAACACTTCTTAAGAAAACACTTACATCTCCCACACAGAGTACTTCTTAATCAAAACAACTCACCACTTCCTAATTAACATTCACAACAACTCAGTGAAACCAGTTAATCCACATACACAACACTCTTCATTCACATTTTCTTGTGTCCTCAGCATATTGTTTAGGTATCACTGAAAACAAAGCATACGGGAAAATATTCATTCACAATTTCCTTGAGTCTTTAGCTGCCCTTAGTTTCGTATCACTGAAAACAAAGCATACCAACTTCGTTATAAACATTCTAAGTAACATCTAAGTAAAATTCAAACTATATATTCAATTATTTATACACGTCTACGAATTCACCGTCTACGAACCGGTTTTGGTTACGAATTCACTGCGTCTACGAACTGGTTTTGTCTACGAAATCACCGTCTCCCTTAACATTAACCTACCACTATCTTAGCTCTAAGAGAGCTTAGAAAATCTAGACGCAGGACCGCCCATGATGTGTTACTGAGCTACCATGCAACCAAGCCAAAGTTTTATACGAATCGACGACGGCCGAGTTTTCTGAGGATGTCAGGGACATACAACTGCCCTACGTCATCCCAGAAATTTATTAGACACCTTGTCTCTAAAGCAAGAGTTCCTAAGGATTTACTAAGAATGGTACTTATGAAATATTATCTTTGTCACTAATACAAATGGTCTCAGTGGAAAGAAATGATGTGCTTAGAAAAGACCAATACATGTATATCTCTTTCAGGTGTGCATTGGCCCAATGTTTTGAGAAATATTGATGGGAAGAGAATCTTAGCAAGAATTATGGATCTGTTTGATCCATAAAATATCATACCTACCTTTTTTAGAATTATGGAATTGAAAATAGATGCATTACAGTGCTTTGGTAAATTCAACAAGGACTGTCAAAAGTTTACATCATGCTTAACACCAGGACTAATATAAATTGACAATGGTATGTCTGTAATTCTCTTTGTTTCAATGTAAAACATAAAAACAAATAACAATACACAGATTGTCACTCTGTTTCTGATTACTTAATTGACACATTAATGTATCCCGGTGTCAGGGGTTTTCGACGATGTAACTCTTATTTGTAATATCATTTAAAGTTTTTATTTTACTAACCTTGAGTAATAAAGGATATATTCATCTGTTTCACACAAAAATATCAAGTGTTTCCTACAAAATTAGTGTTGATGACATTGTATCAGCGAAGTTGTTGCCGCTCTCAACATCTGGGTATTTTGTATGGGTTTTTGACGACGAGCCATACTTTTCTGATCCGCACTGCGAGGGAGTGTTGTGATCACGTGGCTTCCTATTTATATATTGCCTGTCACTAGCAGACAACTGATTTTACTGAATTTTCGCTTGCTATTTTTTGCTATAAAGACAATTGATTTTGCATCTGAAGTGATATTAACGATCTCGAGTAAATGATATTGATGTTTGTTTGCTTTTTATATAACTTAGTTAATGATGGTGAATAGTGCAATATGTATGTATCCTGTTGCTGCATTCACATCACCCATGAGTAGTAATTTCCATCACCCATCATGACCATGTTTAATATGCTTTCTGTCCAACATCCATGTTTTTTACTGCTTACCTCAGAAGTTAAATACAATCCAGTAAAAGTGATAAGCATGTTAAAACAAATTAACTTAACAAATGTTCAACTGTTTGCATGATATGTCTGTTTACAGGGTTTGAACCACAGTTTTACCGTTGATTACAACAATGCTACATTTCTTCAAGATGGCAAGCCCTTTCGCTATATCTCAGGGAGTCTGCACTACTCTCGAGTACATCCATATTACTGGAAAGACAGATTGACAAAGATGAGGGTATCGGGACTAAATACTGTACAGACGTAAGTAAGGAATGGTGGATGTAGTCACCTGCTTTATATCAGTCAACAGCTGTCTTTTAAGTATGACATGACAGACAAAGCACCTTGATTTCCTCAGGGCCCATACTGAGGATGCTGTGATAACTGACTGACTGACTGAGTTTGCTTTTACGCCGCTTTTAGCAATATTCCAGCAACATCACGGCGGGGGACACCAGAAATGGGCTTCAGACATTGTGCCCACGTGGGGTTTCGAACCTGGTTCTTCGACGTGACGAGCCAACGCTTTAACCATTAGGCTACCCCACCGCCCCCTGTGATAACTAGAGATATATGTTGTAATGCTGATGTATCAGTGAACATGGTCAAGTTCTTGTATTGATGCTAAATTATTAATTTACTGCCACAGAAATGTGTACATTTAATTTGATTACCTTGATTAGGATTTATAATTTGATGGAAGAATAATCATTCTGATCATGATCAATCCAGTTCATATGGGTACTTTTATCCATGTCCGTACGTACGAATTGGAATATCTTAAGAACCGTAGACTAGATTCTTTTCATATTTGGTAGCTAGGTTCATCACAGTATAAGAAAGATCCCAATCAGGTTTGGTGACTTTGAAGTTAATTTCAAGGTCACAAGGGGACTTTAACGTTTTACTCTTGTCGTGTTACTCGTCACATAATTTTCAAGGTCATGACAACACTTTGAAGATTTCAGCATATTAACATTCATGTTATGCTTGTCAGCGAGTTACCTCAAGAACCATTCACTGGATTTTCTTCATATTTGACATCAAGCTTCATCCAGGGAAGGTGCAGGACTCAGTCGATTTTGGTGACCTTCACTTAATTTGCAAGGTCACTGCGACACTTTGAAGATTTCAGCATGTTAACTTGAATTAACTTGATTTTTTTCATAGACTTTTAACACTTCCCTTGAATGTTTTTCAATAAGCAATTTCTTTAGTACCATTTTTGCATATTTCATACACTATGACATTCATGTCAAGGTCAAAGTCAGTCTTGAAAATATTTGTGTGTTTGAACAACTAAAGAGAAGATATCAAGAGAGGTTGACTGGTCATGTTTTTGTTGACATTTAACTTCATCTTAAACTTTCATTACTTTTTATGTTTGATTTGATAATTTGCGGCGGGGGATTATGTCACCTTAGTGACAATGCTTGTTATCACATTTTATTGCGACTGTGTGTGAGTCATATAGATTGAGGTTGCATGACCTCTTTTGGGACTCCATGTAAACATGAAAACTCAGTAACTAACATGCACTACAATGCATGGACGCATGGAGAGAGTTGAACCCTAAAACAAAAAAGTATACATGGTGGAAAAAGAATCCTCGCCAACAAGCCAGATTAGATTTCTTCTTGGTAACTGAAGACCTCTTTAACATAAATAGTAATATATCCATCATACCTGGTTATAAAAGTGACCATTCTGCTGTAACGTTATCTTTATCAACACAAAAAAATAAGGAAAAGGGACGCGGCTATTGGAAGTTTAACACATCATTATTGAGACGAGAGGAATATATAACACTAGTAATTGACTTACTTAATGAAACAAAACGAAAATACGCAGATCCTACATATTCAGATGAAGAATTAAACGAGATTAATGATGAACACTTACGTTTGACTATCAGTGACACTCTATTTTTAGTGACATTTTTAATGAAACTTAGAGGAAAATCCATCTCATACTCTTCATATATTAAGAAAAGCAGAACTGCAAAATATAAAGAACTAGAGAGAATATATGTCATATAGAAGATGAAATAAGAAGTAACTTCCAAAACGCTAATGAAACACTTCTTGCTGATTTATCTAAAAGTAAAAATGAATTGGAAAAAAAAAAAGAAGAAATAAAAGGAATCCAAGTTAGAAATAGAATCCAGTGGTATGAAGAGGGGGATAAACCTACACATTATTTTTGTCATTTGGAAAATAGAAACTATACAAACAAACTTATTAACTCCCTTATTATTGATAATGGTGAAGAAATAGCAGATGGACGAGAAATAATAGTGGAACAAAAGCGATTCTATGAAAACCTGTATAAATCAAATAGCGACATAGATGAAGACATTAAAGCTGTATTCGAACATATTGCTACTCCTTCTTTAAATAAAGAACAGTCAAATGAACTAAAGCTCGATATTAGTGTTGAAGAACTTTCGCATGCTGTTAAATCAATGAAAAATAACAAAAGTCCAGGTTTAGATGGCTTCCCTATCAAATTCTTCAAATTTTTCTGGAAAAATCTGAAAATTTGGATTCACCGATATATAAAAGAAACTTTCAACCAGAATTCTATGACTACGACAATGAATAGAAGAGTAATTACATGTATCCCTTAGCCAGAAGATAGAAGATACCTAAAGAATTGGCGACCTATCTCTCTCCTAAACGCATTGTATAAAGTTATAAGTACTTGTATAACAAACAGGATTAAAAAAACTTTGAATTTTCTTATAAACGAAAATCGAACAGGATTCATTCCAGGAAGATGCATTACGGAAAACATTAGACTTCTTTATGACATTATGTTTGAAACTAAAAGGCAAAACATAAAAGGTTTACTAATCTTAATTGACTTTGAAAAAGCTTTCGACACCGTGTCAAAATTATTCATTAAGATGGTCCTAGACAAGTTTGGTTTTGGAAGTAACATTCAAAGATGGGTTAACATATTGATTTCTAATGCATCCTCGTGTATGATACAGAATGGTCACTTGTCCACGTTTTTCGATAATGAAAGGGGATGTAGACAGGGTGATCCCATATTTATTTGTATTGGTAGCAGAAATACTAGGAATAATGATCAGAGACAACCACAGAATAAAAGGAATTGTTTTGAACGACATCGAACATGTTATTGGTCAATGTGCAGATGACACTGAATTATTTTTGGACAGTTCCGAACCTCTCTTAACTCATTAAGCCCGAGAGCCCCATCACTACTCAACACCTGGAAGCCCTCGCTGATTGCCCACTCTCTGTGCTGAGACTAATTAGTGCTAGTCACACCGGAAAACTGTCTAGTCGTACAAACAAGTCCTGATTGTTTAATTGTGTCGTAAAGATATATGTTGAAAGAAATCAGGTATGAATACATGTCGTGTATTGCAAGCTTTATGTAATTTTATTGCAAGTTTCTCTTGTAGACCTTTTGTCGGCTTGTACATTTATATTTTATCACAATATGCATACACATGTATTCTTTGTATGTAACAGGTGAGACACACGTTAACAAATTCTCTCTCTTATATCATTGTGTGAGGTTTAAATTTACAAAACATCTATGACAATGACATACTGTAAAGAAGAATTTACTTTCATACTTTATAATCTTCGACGAAAATAGCGGTTTTGCCAATACATTTCTAGTGTTTACGAATTATTTTAATGAAAGTACTATAACGCTAGTCTGTGACTAGCACAAAGCACATTCATAGCATTGCACTTTATTTCATCTAGATTTAATGCAGAAAACATACGTGACCATACAAACACATATACAAAATGATACTACATATTCCTTGCTTAGACATAAAACAAAGAGTCACGTGATAGGGCGTCATCAAATTTCCCGAATAGAACGTTCGGTATCTCAACTGTTCAATGTAGTGGCTGGTCATATGTTATCTGCGACCAATTGTATCATGAGATACCTGTCACAGAGGAAAGGACAGGTGATGGGGCGTGGGCGAAATTTCTGAAGAGCACGTTTGGTCACTCAGCAGCTTGGATAGAGATTGGTTATTGGCTATATCGTTGACCAGTTGATATGCTGGGTTTCGGCTTTATCAACTCAAGCTATCATGTAACAGTTTGTGTATTGTAAACATACACACTGGTAACGATGTATGAAATATACACATAAGACAAATAGGAGTAGATAGTCACTTTAGCGAGTTTATTTGTCCTCATTTTAGTGTTTTTCGATAAGTAAACCAAAGCGATTGAAATCCAACCACTGAGTGGAGGTAGTATTTATTTTCATATACTATTTATGCACACAACTAGTACATAAAACAAAATGTTTTTCTGTACATGTAAATATAATCTTCACCTTGATACGAATGACTATCCAAACTAGAGTACACGCATTACAGAATTCACGAGGTGACACTATACTGAATTATTATAGTGTATAAACTTGCAGTTGACACCCCCCACCCCAAATATTTATGAAGGTGGGCGTGCCTATATCTTTACTGAATGCAAACGAGGTTCATAAGATTACAGATGTGCATGCATGTATAAACATCACAGAGAGGGGCGTGACTCTATAAAGCAAGATGTCCAATGATATAACAGCGCATCTGTTTATTTTACACTTGTCACGGGACAAACCTTTCAACAAGGACGTAACTACATATGCATTCTACCGGAGGCTGTTATTTCAAGGTCGAAAGAGGCGTTCAATTATCTCATTACTGTAATCTGCTTGAATGATTATACGCATGTGTATTGATACCGTAACTGATATACTATCCAGCTTTTATTGACGATGGATCAATAGAGACTGAGTTGATTGATACACGTGATAATTGCACCGGATTTGATAATTACACAGATCAAATACAAATTTTACAGAATGCTCATGTAAATTGCATTAGAAAACTGACAATTCAAATCAACATGAAACTTTCAACAGCTTGAACAAAAATGCTTGAAATACCTTTGTATGGCTTACATGTAATAACTTATGATATTACTTCTGTCCATGTGTGACAATGTTTTGAATTACCAACTTACTGTCTTTTGTAACAAACGTAGTAAAACATTTCATTGTTGTAATGTTATAGGGACTAATTCAGGACAGCCATCGTCCAAATATTTAAAAAGTCCAAAACTATGTGCTCAAGACATGTGAGACTTTATTGTAATATATATATGACGCTAAGCTGTATTTTTAATCACTACTGTACATCCTTATCACTACCGCATTGTAAATTGACTTGTCAGCCCATTAATTATTGTATAAGACATTTATCACCTTCATTGGTAATCCCCCTTGGCCGTGTCTGCCATCACATCAACTGGTCAAGGAAGTGCTATTGTTTTTCTGTCTGTCCATTGATGTGTCGTCGCCTGTCCATTGTTGTCAAAAACTGTATATATACTTAGTATGCTCACATCTAGACAGTGAAGGAGTAATGAGTTCGGTATTTGGACTGTCTGTTGGGGCGACCATGAGCAGGATAATGCCGCTCGTAGGAAACGCCCTGGGGTTGAGCAGGTACTCCACTCATCTCGCTCATGTCTTATGTATTTGTTTGTCATGTACTAAAGATGTTTGAACTCAACTATGCCTTCGTCTTTATCAACGCACACTTCATCTTAATTATGAGCTAATTCCCCAGTTGACATATAATCCACGCCGTTGACAGTAATAACACTGACATGTATATATGTATTCGATGCAAAGGCTTAGCGACTTATCACTTTATATTCGCTTAGGTAACATTACTTAACTTTAGATATTCGAAAACAACTAGTTACAATTCAGTAAACTTCAAATTAGTAAGTTCAATTATGTTTAATCTATTCGAGCTTGGATGTATAATTACTTGTGTTTATACATTATGTTTCAGTATATGAAACATGACAACGTAATGATGCCTAAAAGTAAATTCAAACTATTCTATTGTGTTTGAATTCTTTGTATGTCCTTGAAATTTCAGTATATTGTTTCCTATTTATTAGGTAGTTGAAGGAAATATAATTTTTAGTAACCTCTAAACCATTACATCTAATTCAATCAAGGTGCATAACGAAGTATTTTAGTATCCATTCCCAAGGAAGAGTACCAGGCACTTACCTCTGTAAAACATCATAATCCCCTTTCTCTTCCGACATGCGTTCATTTGCTAAACGCTGTACAAGCCTATGATAATGATTAGCAATTGTTATCAAAACACTTTAAATACTTCTTCTGATTGATACTAAAGGTGGGATCTCTCGTAAGAAAAGCTAACATTTGCTCAGTACTACTGAATTGGTTGAAATAATAGGTACAGTGCGAGTTTTAAAAGTACAACACACATGTGCGTCTCTCGCTGAATAAGAGGTGCTTTCTGTTGACGACTGTATGTGGCTCTCGCTGTGAGAAACTGCTAATTACCTGCCCCATAAACACGTCACTCGCTGTGAGGAGCTGATTAATTTGCCCCATATATGCGTCTCTCGGCCTTAATGAGTTAATGAAGCTATGAAAACTTTGCTTTCCTTTTACAAGATGTCAGGTTTGAAAATAAATATTGATAAAAGTAGTATGGCTAGGCTCAATGGCAGGTAGTAAAATAGTTCTATCCCAGGACTATAAGCTGGATTGGCATAATGAGAATTTCGAAGTATTGGGAATCAAATTAAATGCTCATTTAGAAAACCTATGGGTAATTAATACAAAGAAGAGACTCGAAAATATCAAAAGAATTCTACTGAATTGGAAAAGACGCAATTTAACATTGATAGGGAAAATAACCGTTGTTAAAAGTTTAGCTTTATCCACGATTGTCCACATCTTCTCTTCTCTCCCTAATCCTCCAAAAACATTTATTACTGATTTGAACAGATTATTCTTCAAATTTATATGGAATGATAAAATTGATAAAATAAAACGAATTAATTTAGTACCTGCGAAGATGCGAAGAAGGTGGTCTAAGAATGGTCGACGTGAAAAAACCTTTATCGACTCTTTAAAACTTTCATGTTTGAAGAGATATATTTCAAAACCTAAGAACTATGCTCTCGCCGGTTTTCCTCTACAAAACCTTCTTTTTTTAGGAGCCAACATCACAAAACATTATAATATTAAAAATCCATTTTTGAAAGATTCTCTTGATGCCTGGCATAGATATGTTAAAAGATCGGTATGTAACAATAACGACATTAATGAAATACTCATGCAGCCACTATGGTTAAATCACCAGTGTAACCAGCCAAGTTTGATCATTCATAACTGGATTAAATGTGGAAAAGTTTATATTAAAGATATTTGTAACGACCACGCATTTCTATTATTTGCAGAACTTAAGGCAAAATTTGGTATTAAAGGTACTGTACTTGACTTTAATCGTGTTCTCCTTAGTATACCCAAACAGTGGAAAGAAGTTATACGAACAAACAATTTTAATATACCGTCGTTATCTATGTGCTCTCCTTGGAACGATTTGATTAAACCTAGTAAAGGTTCAAGGATATTCTATGATAATTTTATATCTGACTATAACATTCCGAATGTGTGTCTCAAATGAAACGGGGAACTAAATGAGTTGATAAATTGGAAAACCATATTTTCACAATATAGACAATGCACTAAAGACACGAAACTTTTAGTTTTTTAATACAAGTTTTTGCATAGAGTCATTTACACTAAACGAAAATTACTAAAAATGAAATTGATAGATAATGACCTATGTACATTATGTGGTTCAGTAAGTGAGGATATTTACCATGTATACCTTGATTGTCCAACCATCAAAATGTTCTGGTCAGAATTTAACAATTTTATAACTCAAGTCCTTGGTAAAACGTATGAAATGTCAAACCATGATATTCTATTTTGTTGCAGTAGTAACCACTTACTCAACCACATGATACTATTGGCAAAGCGCCACATTTTCGTAATGAATATAAAAGGACACAAACCTAGCTTCACCATCTACAGAACATTATTAAAAGATGTCTATGAGATAGAGAAATATATCGAGAAGAAAAACGATAATATGAAACATTTTTTCAGAAAATGAATGTCCTAGATGCAGTCATGTAATTTATTTTTTAGTCTTTTAATTCTCTGTAATATTAGCTAGCATCTCAATTGTTAATCTATATTCCTAGTACCATATGCAGTGTGCGAAATAGTTTCCAAATTTTGCTAGCCAGTCGGGCTAGCTATGCTTGAAAGTTACTAGCCCACAAAATAATTCACTAGCCCGAAATCTGAAATCTGAAACTAAGCAAAAGATTACAAAAATAGGTAAGAATAATATATTGTCGACATGACACGGGTTTCATCATGAAGCTGCTAATATGATGGACATATTTATCAGGCCGTACCCTGTAGGATGTAAAAGTGTATTATAACTTAACAAGTCAAGTGCGATATTTACAAAATGACCCCATGAAAATTCACTAGCTAGTCGGGCCAGTGACTGTGGAGATTTACTGGCCCGACTGGATTTTTACTAGCCACGGGCTAGCGGGCTAGTGGCTATTTCGGGCACTGACATGTTATACATTGTCTGCTTTTTATTATGCAACCTGTACCATTCTACTCTACCCACATATCTTGTTCAAATGTAACCAAGTAAAGTGAATAAAAATACTTTACAAAAAAAAGAGTAAAAAAAACCCCCAAAACATGCACTACAAACGTTACATATGCTGACGTTTGCCATGTGCTGTTGCAAAAGGACGTCACTCTAAACAATTATATCTGAAGTCTTATTTTAGGCCCATGGACTTAATAATGGGAAAATATCCCGTTATGAAGCCCATGGGCGTAATTATAAGTGGGCTTAAACAAGGGAAATCCCGGTAATCATGCTGTGTATTTTTAAATATTCAGTTTAGCCAAATAATGTGTCAAATTCATTGTATTGGGCAATGTGTTTGTGTATATGTCTGTATACTGATAATTTCATTCATCATGATTATTGCAATCATAAACATTTCTGATTAATATTGGCATAATAACTTTTTCATGTTGTTTTGCAAACCGATTCAGACACTTAATGTGACGACATTCTGTGAAAAATAAGTACATACATGGATCTCTTTATGAAGTTTACTAATTGTTTGTGCCAAAGTAACTCAAAACTTGATCAATTATGTCCTCATTATGCATTGGAAAACAAATACATGTACCCCCATAGATAATAAATGCCTTTTCATATTAACAAAAATCCAGAGGTTGAATACAAATGTATTAGAATGACAAATCCAGTCATTAACGTCATATGTATGAATCTAAAACTTTTTCCCTAGTTATTTCACTGGGCGATCAAAAAATGTATCCTCTAAACCTACCATGTAACAATGGAAGATACGGGACATGATCGGCGATATTTTCGTCATTAAATTTGCTAAAATAACTATATTCAATCAATGTGGTCGTTCAGCTCCATGTTTATGTGTTTTGATCATGTTGATATTGTGTGTCAATATATCAATACCTTAATTACCATTCCATGACACCCCAAGTGATCACTGATAGGAATACTAATTACATGTAACTTTTGGGATTCATTTTGACAGAGAATGGAACATGTTAACTAATGGCATACAGATACAGCAAAAACATAGTATGAAAACGGCAATTCATGCTTCTGAAATATTGGATGAATACCAAGTTATCCTAATCGACCACCTTTCTACCTTTCAGTTATGTCCCCTGGAACATTCACGAGCCAACCCCTGGGAAGTACCAGTGGACTGGTCTCGCTGACCTGGAGACCTTCCTGAAGTTGGCACAGGAAGGGGGGCTAAATGTCCTCCTCCGCTTGGGGCCCTACATCTGTGGAGAGTGGGAGTTTGTAAGTCTCCTTCACTACGTGGACATCAGGGATTATCCAAAAGTCCCTAAGCCTGAGTTGTTACCTAGTATGTGGAGTTGTTGGTGATGTTGGCAGCTAGGATAATCTCACTGCTCTTGTGATCTGAATTGATTCCTGACAATCTGACATCTTGAACAGATTAATTGTCTTTTTGAATGGCTGACACTGTTCATCTTCAGACTGCTAGCGTGTGTGTGTCTATGATCCTGAAAGATAAACAGTGAACCCTGTAAATCTGGAATCTCTTCCTTCCTGGGTGACTGCTGTACAGGAACATTCCGAATTAACCAAGTTCATTATCCTGGAAATTTAATAATGTGCTGAGGTTCACTTGAACTATGGATTAATGGTGATATTTGTGTATCATCCTCAGTTAGGCAGTATTGTCAGATAAGGAGTAGGACAGCAGTGCTCGTTCAGCCAGTAACGAAAGGTGTTGCAACACACAGACATTGTAAACTATGGAATGATGGCTTGTGTTCAACATAAAGTTATCTTAATGAAACTAAGTTAGGGACATGTTTTGTTCATGCAATAATCAAGACAACAGATGTTCTTGAGTGTCTGAGAACCCTTAACACAGAGGATAATAGACATAGAATGTATTTCAACAAAGCACATTGTTTTCAGAGGTCATCAGTCAAATGACCCAAAGGTATTGACATCAGTCAGAAACTGGGCAGTATAAAAGCATGTGTAAATATTCTAAGCAGGATCTTGTACTTGTGCTTGTACTGTAAGTTTGTAGTGGACACTTGGAACCTTTTTATTGATCAGTGAACAAGGGGTAATGGTCTATGGCCATACCAATTTCAATTCTTATGCTCACTTTTCTGGACCTGTGAAGCTCCAGGTTAGTATTAATCTTCAGCAATCCCTGCTTGCTGTAAGAGGTGACTAACGGGATCGGATGGTCAGGCTCGCTGACTGGGTTGACACATGTCAACGTATCCCAATTGCGTAGATCAATGTTCATGTTGTTGATCCCTGGATTGTCTGGTCAAGACTCACTTATTTACAGACCGCCGCCATATAGCTGGAATATTGCTGAGTGCGGCGTAAAACTAAACTCACTCAAACTCACTCAATTTTCTGGGGTTTATGTTTCACTTTTGCAAATTTATATGAAAATATTTGATAGAAAAAGGGAATTATATTGGTTACGGATGTAATTAGAGAATAACATTCTACTTGCCATCGTAAAGTGACTGCATCTTGGGGACAAGATTTTGGATTCTTGCTGAACCACAAAGAAGTGTTTTATATGTGACTGATGCTACATGAGATGTGATTGCAGGGAGGTTTCCCGGCCTGGCTGTTGACCAAGAACCCAGACATGGTGCTTCGAACCAGTGATCCATGTAAGTGACAACTAATGAAGGAACCCTGTGGGATCCCAGGACACACTGCAGCCACTCTCCTTGACATGTAGAATGATCACAATCACCATCTTGTTCAGATTCTTGGATATCTTACCTTTTGGATGTTTGAGTTTTTTTACACAGAAATATAAAAAATAGCACAATATGTGGTTAATTTGTTTATGTCACTGTCAAGGTGCAAGGCGAAAAGGGTCTATATTACAGAGCTAGGGTTAGAGAATGGGCAAGTGATCTATTTGACCGACTAGTCATCTACATTATGGAGCAAGGGTGAGAAAATGGTTGGTGATCTATTTGACCGACTAGTCATCTACATTATGGAGCAAGTGTTAGAGAATGGGCCAGTGATCTATTTGACCGACTAGTCATCTACATTATGGAGCAAGGGTTAGAGAATGGGCATGTGATCTGTTTGACCGACTAGTCATCTACATTATGGAGCAAGGGTTAGAGAATGGGCCAGTGATCTATTTGACCGACTAGTCATCTACATTATGGAGCAAGGGTTAGAGAATGGGCATTTGATCTGTTTGACCGACTAGTCATCTACATTATGGAGCAAGTGTTAGAGAATGGGCAAGTGATCTATTTGACCGACTAGTCATCTACATTATGGAGCAAGTGTTAGAGAATGGGCAAGTGATCTATTTGACCAACTAGTCATCTACATTATGGAGCAAGTGTTAGAGAATGGGCAAGTGATCTATTTGACCGACTAGTCATCTACATTATGGAGCAAGGGTGAGAGAATGGGCAAGTGATCTATTTGACCGACTAGTCATCTACATTATGGAGCAAGTGTTAGAGAATGGGCAAGTGATCTATTTGACCGACTAGTCATCTACATTATGGAGCAAGGGTGAGAGAATGGGCAAGTGATCTATTTGACCGACTAGTCATCTACATTATGGAGCAAGGGTGAGAGAATGGGCGTGTGATCAATTTGACCAACATGTGTTTCAATACTTGTGTTTCAGTCACAGCTCATTTAGCAGAGTGTGGGGATGATGGGACAGTGATGTATTTGAAAGCTACTGAATAAGAATGATATGTAGTTGTGAGCTTGAGAACTGCTGCCCTGCTGTCAGCTGATCCAAGGAAACAGAGTTACCTGTAGCCATTAGTCTGATGGTAGTAGATCATGTATGTTTCTTCTGACATATCTTGGGTATTGCTGATATTGTGTACATGTGTTGCAGCCTACATTGCCGAAGTGGATAGATGGTATAGTGTGCTGCTGCCCAAGATCAAACCATTCCTGTATGAAAATGGGGGTCCTGTTATAATGGTGCAGGTGAGGATGATACACATATTATCACTGCTATAACACCAGATTAGGCTTGCATCACTACTACCACCAGCTAAATTCCATCTACTGCAGCAGACTAATGGATCCCATATGGTGTCTACCAATGTACTAAGGTACTAACAATCCAAAGTCGTCAAACTCTAGCATTAATCAGAGACCATATACCAAGGTCGGGTATCAGACCTATTTGGGGACTAATCACTGTCGTGCGAGACCAAGTTTGGACTTTCACCCGAGACTGAGATATTTGGAGAGTTACATACCAGGGTCTTGTAAATTGATTTTTTCATGTGTTCAACCCTTAACTGATTATAAACTTTGAGTTTATGAAGTTTCTTGATTTGTTAGAGAGCATTCATTACATATAAGCAGCTATGTGTTTACATTGGCATGTTTGTGAATTCTCTAACAAAAACATCTTATGATGTCCTACTGTTCCAAAAGAAAATGGCTGTCAGAAATTCACAATTTATCCATTTTCAAGGAGACACTACACCACTATAGTCCTTAGTTACAGGAGTCGTTCAGAAGATTTCTTTGTCATGGAACAATAATCTACTGCTTGGTGTATGGTTCCTGCGTTAAAATGCCCAATTGGCATACATTTTCAAATTTTCCAGTTGGAAATTCTTGTTAGCAAGTTTTCATCCATGGACTGGCACAATAAAGCTTACTTATATAAATCTGTCTTGATGCTATTTTGATTATTTTCAAGCTGTTGAGAACAGCTTTTGTATTGACCTGGAAACTGTGATTTTGAACAATATTTTATATTTTTTCTTATCCTGACTCATGATCTTTTGCTTATCTCCCTTTCCCTTGCGAATGGTAGTGGAACACTTGAATCCCTTGAAGTTCCCAAAGCAGACGTAAAAATACACTCACCCACGAGTTACCTCCCTTTTGCCCTTTCCCGCGCAAACAGTCATGTGACCAGCCGTACTTGTCACTCTCTCCCTTTTCGCCCAAGTGGATGGTTGGGCGAGCACTGGAGTCCCGTATACGGCATTATATCCTTTTTATTTAAGCCTATTCTTCAAAATTACGCTGTGTATGGATTTGGCAATAACTACTATGTATTATATGTAAAGATTTTGTAAAAATTATTTGTATTTGTGTCATAATTTCATGAAATCTTGCCGTGTTTGCAGGCACAGGTTATCCGTGGCTGATCCTCACCCCCAATGCCCTTCGTGCATGAAACCATGTTCTTCCAGCTTGCACTGTACTTATTGTGTTGATTTATCAACTCTACAATTTAATCAATATTTGTCTTATATCTATAGACGTGCCATGGATCGGGTGAGGAAGTCATCTCAAGTCACGGCTGATAAAACAGGAGATCAGCCTTCAAACCATATGTTGCTTGCTACTGCTGAAGTTCATAATACTGGTGCTATGTTGAGTACGTTGCAGGGGCAGTCTGCTGGTTCGGGAGTCAAGAAGAGATTGGCTACAACGCAGTTGACTCCGACTCAAGCTAAGAAAAAGACGTCGTCGTCTTCTACGTCGCAGAATAAAGCATCTGTTACCAGATCGGAGGGTAAATCTACGTGGCCTAGTAAGTCAACGCATCAGAAATCCTTCAACGAAGAGATGCTACCTCCACATGAAGTAGATGTTTTTGATGACCCCCTGTTACTTCTACCCGAAGTACCTACGAGATCGGCGACTCAATCGACTTCCACGACTACTAGATCGTCTCCTGCAACTGTCACAGCAGGCCAGATGTTTGAAGAACTACCACCAACTTCTTAACGAAGTGAAGTCGAGACACACAACTCATCAGCATTCGCGAACGCTTCATCTACACCGCAGCAGCTTCAATCAACGCAGAACTTTGATCCGGGTGAATTTATGAGACAATTCACCAACCAGATGATGGCCATGATAGAACGTAGGTTTGAGGAAGAAGCGATGGCTCGGCGAAGCCTCTCATCTACTGACATCGTGCGCAAACCTACGGACCTGCGCGAACCTACTCCTCATAGAACTACGTTTCAAGACTACGTTGGCGAACGTACACCTTTGTGAAGGTCTCCACAGTCTGATGACTCTGTCATCTTGGAGGAGGATAGATGAAGTCTACACTTATAAGATGCATAATGACGACTTTGACTCGGTGACTATTCCTCCGATTGATATCCAAGATACCTTCTAACCTACGCACAGCTTTGAGAAAGCTGCAGACATCTACAAGGTTCGAGAACTCTTAGATCTACAGGCAGATAACAGCAACGCAGACATCTATAGGGTTAGCGAACCCTTACATCAACAGGCAGGATGTTGACGTCGACTCTGTTACCATAAGGCTGGATAAAACGAAGCAATGATGAAAACAGATGGTTTTGTCAGAGTTTATAACTCAACAAAAAGATCTACAACATGTGCAATCTCTACAGTTTACAGCCTGCACAACTCTACAACCTGCACGAACCTTACACCTGTAATAGGTTCAGTTTCGGACGACAACCTACTTGATGAAAGGAATCCCTTCATCTACACGGATGCTGAGGTCTTATACCGGGTAGCAGATGGCCTGCGGATATTGTAGTTCACTCACTCACTCCAACCCAACAGAGACGTACTGCATATACGCTGATGATTTCGACTCCAATATGATATCACCTATGAAGCCGATATCTCAAGTACTGGAGAACCTCAAGGCGACCTTTGTAAAGGGCTTAAGCTTAACAACGCCTTCAAGAATCCTTGAACGGATGTACAGATGATATTATTAACACTCGTCACTCAGCGTGGGGATTAGGATTTTATATCCTATCAACTAGATTCAACATCTTTATTTCTTCAAGATCCATACAGACATACGTCTCAACAGCCTCCTTCGTCATGCTGGTTTATATTATCCACAATGGGAATATGTGATTTATATCACTGAACAAGATTTTACACTTGGAGCAACCCTTAATCAAGAGGTTTATATGATCGGCGTAGATTTACGCTGCACTTTTACTCAACCAACTAATTGCACCAGATTTTATGTAGGCCAACTTGCTACAACACCGGTGACGTCATGCTTGAGGCTGATTGGTCCACGTCAGACAACGGCTCCCACTGACAGAGCAGGCTCCAGCAAGTTTAATGACTTGTAAACAAACCCGTGGTACAGGGAAATACTTCATCGGCAGCCTTGGAAACAGTATATATCTATGGCCTGTTATCATCATGGGAATCTAATTGATGTCTAGCCTTAACAGCAGCATAAACGATGTTTATTTTGGAAGTTGTCACTGATAAAAGGTGGTATGAGTACCTGTCCCCTGCGATGCTACACTGGAGCCAGCCTTGCTATAAATAGACAACACTTCGATGTATGCTGATCAACACAGATCACCTGCATATATAAGGGGAAGAATGATGTATCATCACTGCAATCAGAGGTTAGCACTTCCATTGGAACGTCCTACCGTTTTGAATATCGTCGGCTCTATGATTATTCATACGAATAACCAAGCTTATCTGTAGCATCGAGGTCTACGCAGTGCCGTTTATCTGGACGACGGCATACAGGTTCTTCAAAGTGCCAATCAACTCAGACAGCAGCTGAACTTCACAATTCAGTTGCTCACGCAACTAGGATGGCTAGTGAACCTGATGAAGTTGGAGTTAGAATCAAACAAGATCTGCAATTGCTGAGAATAAGAATTATCACAACACAGAATCGAATTGTGGTCCCGGAAGATCGTTGGGTCAAGATACAAGCCATGATTTCACAAGCAGTCATCTCTCCGTTAACACTACGAACATGGCAATATCTACTCGGTCTACTAACCTTGGCGCAGGACTTGACTCGCACAGGAAGGTAACAACTAAAGCCGCTGCAACGGTTCCTGACAAAACATCTGGAAAGCGTCGACCCTATCTTGCTGCCAGACAATCTTAAGAGGTACCTACTTTGGTGGACTCACAGGTCGAACGTCTGCGGAGGGACCTATTTACAAGAGCCGGCCTTCGACACACATCTCTACGTAGACGCATCGGTTGGGGTGCACATCTCAACAATCAAGTTGCATCAAGGAAGTGGTCCAAAACAGAGCAGCATCTTCAAATCAATCTGCTGGCGATAAAAGCTGTGATCAACGCCTTACAACTATGGTTGAGCTCATTGATCAACAGAATGCTGATGGTCCACACAGACAACTCTACAGTGGCATTCTCCATAAATCGGCAAGGATCTACAAGATCACCAAGCCTACTACAGCTCACATTCCAGTTGTTTGACATCTGGAAAAAAGGCGTGTCACATACCCGGAGCCAAGAACGTGCTTGCAGACGCTCTCTCCCGACCTCTGCACCCGTCAACTACGGAATGGATGCTCCATCCAGAAGCATTTCGGCTCATCATAAGGGAAATAGGATCCCCATGCATAGACCTGTTTGCCACGAGGTTCAACAAACAACTACAGCCGTTTATCTCACCAGTTCCAGATCCTCAAGCCTGGGCAACAGATGCACTGATTGTGACTGAACATATCATGGGAAGGACTAAACGCTTATGCGTTTCCACCACCGATATTACTACTGAAAGTACTGTTGAAGATCAAACAGACACAGGCACTACAACTGACTTTGGTCGCGCCATACTGGCCAGCGAGAGTATGGTTCCTAGACCTAATAGAACATCTCGTAAGTCCAGTAATCAAGTTACCAGATTGGCCGAACCTTCTCATACATCCACACACCAAGCAAGTCCACGGGAACCCGACAGTATTCCAGTTACACGTGTGGACCGTATCAAAACATTCTTGAAGAAAAGAGGATACTCCGCCAGGGCAGCCAAGGCAGTAACACTAGCGTTATGCAGATCTACTCGTAACCTATATGATGACAAGTGGCTGAAGTTCGAGACTTATGCAAGGCGGAAAGGCTTCATTGCGATGAAAGCTACTCATCCTCAAGTGGCGGAATACCTGTGTCATCTTAGACAGACTAGACATCTGAAAGGTTCGACATTATCTACATAC